AGTTCAGTTCAGTGATTAGTTGTGGGTGTCTGCTTCTACTTCCACCAGCTGCTGGATGAGAGCTATCAGTTGGCATATAAGTCAGTCATCAATCTCTTTATCCAGGGAGGATATTTAAGGTAGCCTGTCCTCTGTTGCTTAGACTGTTAGCTGGTTCCGGCTTTGTAAATCTCCAGACATTTCCCTAGTGCCTGATTTCTCTGTAAACCTAAAATGTCTCCCTCTGTTATGGAATCTCCATTCTTGTTATCTTCTATTCTTCCCCTGACTCAACCTTTCTATTCCCTCATGTCCTCTGCATCCCTCCTCTTCTCCCCTTTTCATTCTCCTAGCTCGTACCCCCCTTTTCCCATGCTCCCAATTTGCTCAGGAGATCTTGATCCTTTCCCCTTCTCCAGGGGACCATGTAAGTCTCTCTTAGGGTCCTCCTTGTTTTTACTAGTTTCTCTGACATTGTGGATTGTAGGCTGGTAATCCTTTATTCTATGTCTATAATCCACATATGAGTGAGTACATACCATGTTTTATTTTTGTGATTGGGTTACCTCGCTCAGAATGGTTTCTTCTAGTTCCATCCATTTTTCTGCAAATTTCAAGATTCCATTGTTTTTTGTTGTTGAGTAGTACTCCATTGTGTAAATGTACCACAGGCATCTAGGCTGCTTCCAGTTTCTGGGAATTACAAATAGTGCTGCTATGAACATCATTGAACAGATGTCCTTGTTGTAGAATGTGCTTTGAGGGGGGGGGGGGTAGATGCCTAAGAGTGGAATTGCTGGATCTTGTGGTAGACTGATTCCCATTTTCCTGAGGAATCGCCATACTGATTTCCAAAGTGGCTGAACGAATTGGCACTGCCACCAGTGGTGGAGGAGTGTTCCCCTTTCTCCATATCCTTTCCTGCATAAACTGTCATTGGTGTTTTTGATTTTAGCCATTCTGACAGGAGTAAGGTGGTATCTCAGAGTTGTTTTGATTTTCATTTCCCTTATCTCTCTGCATTTTTAACACTTGCTTATGTATCTTTCAGCCATTTTAGATTCCTCTATTGAGAATTGTCTATTTAGTTCTGTACCCCACTTTTTAATTGGATTGTTTGGTATTTTGGAGACTAGCTTCTTGAGTTCTTTGTATATTTTGGAGATCAGCCCTCTGTCAGATGTGGGGTTGGTAAATATCTTTTCCCAGTCCATGGGCTGTCGTTTTTGTCTTGCTGACTGTGTCCTTTGTCTAACAGAATCTTCTCAGTTTTGGGAGGTACCATTTAACAATTGTTGATCTCAGTGTCTGTACTACTGGTATAATGTCCAGGAAGCGGTCTCTGTACCAATTAATTCAAGGGTATTTCCCACTTTGTCTTCTAATAGGTTCAGTGTGGCTGGGTTTATGTTGAGATCTTTGATCCATTTGGACTAAGTTTTGTGGATGACGATAGACTTGGATCTATCTGCAGTCTTTACATGCCAGCATCCAGTTATTCCAGCACCATTTGTTGAAGATATACTCTTTATTCCATCATATAAATTTAGATTGTTTGTCAATTGTTCGTAGGTGTCTGGATTAATATCAGGGTTTTCAACTCTATTCCATTGGTCTACTTGCCTATTTTTGTGCCAATACCAAGCTGTTTTCAGGACTATAGCTCTATAATAGAGCTTGAAGTCAGGGATGGTGATGCCTCCAGAAGTTCCTTTATTGTACAGGTTCTTTTGGCTATCCTGGGTCTTTTGTTTCTCCATATAAAGTTGAGAATTGTTCTTTCAAGGTCTGTGAAGATTTGTGTTGGGATTTTGATGGGGATTGCACTGAATCTGTAGATTGCTTTTGGCAAGATTGCCATTTTTACTATGTTGAGCCTACCTATCCAAGAATATGGGAGACCTTTCCATTTGCTGGTATCTTCTTTAATTTCTTTCTTTAGAGACTCAAAATTCTTATGTACAGGTCTTTCACTTTTTTGGTTAATGTTACCCTAAGGTATTTTATGTTGTTTGTGGCAATTATAAAGGGTGATGTTTCTCTGATTACTTTCTCCACCAATATGTCATCAGTATATAGTAGGGCAGTAGCTTGTTTTTTATGCTTTCAGTTGCACTGGGGCTAAATCTCAGAAGTAGACTGATTATTTAGAATATATCCAGATAATACCAGAAGCAATATCCAAATCAATAGACTAGCAAATGGTAATAAATAAAATCAAGACATGAAAACATAAGGCAACACAACTCCTTCAAAGTTCATAAACCCTCAAGTACTAAATCCAAAGACACTCAAATAGGTAAAATGATAAATGAGAATTTCAAAGGTTTACTTGTAAAGATGGTCAGGGACTCAAAGACTATACAAACAAGTGATGAATAAGTATATAAAAATCAGTTTAGGACTTAAAGAAAGTCAACAACATAGATGAGAAAGTCAGTAAGAAAACAAATTTCCCCTCCCAAAAAATTTAGAAGTAAAACATAAGCCAGTTCTACATTAATATTCCCAAGAGAAGACACCAAATGCAATAATTAATTTCAGGAATGAAAAGGTAGGGCTAGGTGGTAGAACAAACACTAATACGGCCGAGCAGTACACAGGAGGCAAAGGCAGGTGGATCTCTGTGAGTTCAAGCCCAGCCTGGTCTACAGAGAAAGTCCAGAAAAGCCAGGGCTAAATGAGAAACCCTGTCTCAAAAAAAAGAGGAGAAACAGGAGGAAGAGGAAGAGAAGAAGGAGGAAGAGGAAAAGGAGGACAAGGAGGAGGAGGAGGAGGAAAAAGAAGAGATTTAAAAAACTAAATATATCAAAAAACCATTTTCTGAACTGTAGGGAAAAAACTGACAAGGAAGCAACTGGCATTACAATTTTAAACATGTTACCTCTGCACCCAAAAAATATAATCAACATGCCCAAACTACAAAGCTAAAAGCAGTGTTAGAAGTTGTAAAAGAAAACCAGCAAGTCACTTAAAAAGGTAAACACATAAAAATAACACCAAACTTCTTAACACATAATATTAAAAATCTAAGAAAGGATGCAATTATTTATTTCAAGCTCTAATGTAAAATACTGCTGACCAAGACTGCCATATCCAACAGTTACCTCTTTAAAGTAGCAGAGACATAATGACATTTCTGGGTAAAATTAAAGCTGTATGTGACCACCAAGCCAGCACTGTGGAAGGAATAAATAAAGAAGCAAACACTAAACATAAAGGGAGATGAAAGTTTCAACTGCAGAGCACAAAAAAGAATAAATTCATGAGAGGACTGGATAATAAATTCATGAGGACTATGGAAGAATCTAGCATATCAAACACAGAAAACAGCAAACCCTTCATACACATCAGGGTGAAGAGGCTTGAGGGATGCTCAGTGGTAAAGAGCACTTGCTACTCTTCGAGAGGACCTGGATTCAGTTCCCATATCCACATTACAGCTCATACCAACAGGAACTCCAATTCTGGGGATTCTGGCACCCCTGAATTCTACATGCACCAGACACACATGGGGACATACATAAATGTAGGTAGAACAATCATACATGTAAAAGATAACCAAAATACTTTTTAAAATAGGGAGAGCTGGTTGTGGTGGCCCAGGCTAGTAGGATTTGCTGAAGAAGGTAGAGGCATACTTTAAGGAGAGAAGGAAAAAGGGGAGGGGAGGGGAGAAGAACCATTATGGGGAAGGGGTATAAGTAGAGAATATAAATGCTACATGTTCTCTTTCATATGTTAATCTAATTTTTATATACATACATAAATGTATACATATATATGTACATAAATCATAATAGCAGAAGGCTGCAACCATGTATTTAATGTATAATCTTGGATAAACCTTTGTGAGATATTTCTTAAATAGGGAAAACTTTAAAACAGATGATGGAAAAATTAGTTCTAAGATTTGAGAAGCCATGGGAGAGTCATGGGGAAATAAATAGGCATCACAGGGCTGGAAAGATAGCTCAGCCACTAAAGGTTAGGCTTTGAGTATCACAAAGATTCAGTTTGAAGCTGCTCTTTGTTTTTCGTGTAGTGGTGGACAGATGACACTACTCCAAACTATGAAACTGTATATAGCGTAATACACAGAAATAGATATAGATAAACCATGAGATTACACCAACATCAATATCCCTAAACGGTAACATCATACTATATGTCTAAACCTGACTGTTCTTGTAAAACTAAACTTTAAGCTATAATTATATCCATAGTTTTATACTAAAATGGTCAAAGAATTAATGCTGAATTCTTCTAGCAGTTTTAAAATGTGACCACAAGTCCTGTAGTACATCTTGCATGAGGAAAAAAAAAAGAAAAATCCCTCATAAGACAAATATAATACTGATGTGTCTCCTAAAGAACAAAAAGAAAGTGTACTAGTCAAAATCCAGTCACTGAAGAGTAGAAGAGAACATCATTCCACTAAAGGGAAAATGTACAGCTGCCATTAGACTTGACTGCTGAAGACAAAATGCTCTAAGTCTAGGGACAAGACAGCTTCAGTCTCATCATATATATTCATTTTTGTACTGACTCTAGACATTCAGATTAGACCAGATAAATGAGTAGACTAAGGAAAAGATGTAACACTGGATGACATGATGGCTGCACAAAAGTATCTAAGAAATAGCAGTTATAACAAGTGAGTCTAGAAAAGTGGCACTACATAAGGCAATATGCAAACATCTATGGAAACGGAAACAACTGAAAAAAAGACAGCCATGATTTCTCCTTAATGTAAATTAATTAACCATATGGAATAAGGCCAAATAAATGAAAAAACCATTATTTATATAACCAATTACAAATATTAAAGTAGTTTGTCAAATTTCAATTATATTGAATTCTCATTTTGTAGTGGATGATGTTTTAATTCATTGTTGAAATCACTCACTGTAGGGATTTGTGTATTTTACAAATAGCTAACACAAAGACTATGATGAATCCTTAAACACTGGGCATTTTCAATCATTTTTTTTCTTCTTTTCCACCAGCACATAACATACCTTAGATAATCTTTTGGTAGAATCACAATTATGGTCTGTACATGCCTTGGGTCCTTTTTCACTGTCTATAGATGAAACTGAGAAAATATATTATATTTTATATTTGTTCTGATATACTATACCAAAATATTTAAATTTTGAAAAATGAAACATCACTTGTCAACTACATCTCTTCCAATAAAAATGTCTGATTTTTTTAATACTAAGTGTCTCAGCAAAATCCTAAACCAAATATTTGCTTTATATAAATCAGGAAAACCTCCTTTCTACAATAACCTTAGGGATGAAGTTTCTCAGTAACTGCTGCTGGGATATTCTGATTTTATAGTACTTAAGAACAGAATTATTTCAACTTTTGCAACATAATCATTATAACTGTGCATATATTTTTCATCCTCTATCAACTTCTATTCATATATATTGAATATCACTACCCTAATTTGATGCTTAATGTGTAGGTACAAACTAAAAGAGGAAAGATAAATTGAAATAATAATATTGGTAATGCAATTAGACTATGGTTGTGGCTATTTTAACCAATATAGTAAGCATGGCCATACATATAGGCACATATTTATTTATATACATATAGCAGTAACTATATGTAAAATATAGACCAGTTGAGATAAATAAGCAAACAGCAGGAAAACTCAATGGACAAAGCAATATTGGATTGATGAGTGTCCTGCTGTACTAATATTTCAATCTCAAAGCTGGAGTAAAAAATGGCACTACAAGGATTTCCAACAGCTGATACTTACAGAGTATAATGTCAATCTCATATCCAAATACCTTTGTTAATTCCCAGTACCAATAAAATATATGAAAAACACTCTTACTTGAAACCTCAGATCTATCACTAATTCAGAAACAATATTTAGTATCTTAAGACTTTTAACATATACTACAAAAAAGGCTTAGCTTTGTCATTATTTACAGCTAAGAGAATATAATGAAAACTGTACTTCAGTTTTCTAATTAAAATTACTTATGAAATAGTCAATATTAATTTCAATAATTTCCCATTAATACTACTTATATCCTTTTAGCCATTCCAGATTATTTTCTAATAAATCCTATGTCATCTGTATGCATGATTTTAACTGGTTCATTTTCCCACAATCTTCAAACAGAAACAAATAGAGTTGTTTAATTGCCTACATATTTACTAAGTCTAATGTCCCTGAGCAGTGACAGATTACCTGAAAACAGCATAGACACTAGACTCTGGGAACAATTTTTAATGTGCTCAAAGAGTTGAAGGAAATAATGGACAAATAATTAAAGAAAACAGAACATGTTGCCATGACAAGAATATTAATAACATAAAATAAATTATAAAAAGTCATCTAATAACTCGAAGGCATGGAATTATAGCTGAGAGGAATTTTTAAAAGTAGATAACAACGTATTTAAGCAGTCTAGAGAAAGAGAGAACTTAAAGATAAGTCACAAAAAGATGATCAAACGAAAAGAAATATAGGAGAACAAAAGTGCAAAATGCATGAAGAATCATGGGACAAGTATACCAACATACACATAAGACATGACTGAAGGAAGGAGAGATGTAATATTTGAGTAAATAATAGTCAAACTGCCTCAAATCTAACATGACATAAATTTTCACACACAATCAGATGGAGCATACATTTATACCGTGAAATATGCCATATTCAAACATCATAAATGAAAGAGAAAGATAATCCAGAAAGGATCAAGAGCAAGTAATGTGTCACATATAAGGGTTATATATGATATTAAATAAAAGCAGGATTTATCATTTGATTTTTTAAGGTCAGAGTGTAAGTTTTCCATAGTGACCTACCTTAAACATAAGGATCCACAAAGAGTACATGGAAATGATGGAGAAAAGTACACTGTTGTCAACATGAACACAAAAGAAGCTGGAAAAGCAATGCTTCTTTCATACAAAATAGAAATTAGAATAAAGAAAAGTATTATTTCCTATCCCAAGTAATAATATGGTCATTATATAGATTAATCCTTACAAAGATTTAAGAGTCCCTGCTCTCTATGTCTTGAACAACAGTGAGTAAACGTATTGGACAATGGATAAAGTGAAGACCCAAGGTCAGACCCCCAGCACTCAGGTGGCAACAGTGGGGGCTGGGGTAGTGATATACATCTGCAACTCCAGCAATGATGTGCAGAGAAAAGCAGTTCCTGGCCATTCCGACTAGTGAAGAAAGCAAAGTGCATGGGCAGAGAGAGATCCCATGTCAAAAAGTAGGTTGTAGCAGAGGATGACACACACCTAAGGTCAACCTCTGGCCTCCACATGTGCACATAAAGTAAAACACACACACACACACACACACACACTGAAGAAAAAACTGATAGAACTATAAGGAAAATAGAAAAATCTAATATCTCTCAATATTCCTCTATATCAGTAACTGATAAACAAAGAAACCAGCATATAAAATAGACTATGGCTAACCCACAGAGCATCTTTCATTTACTGAACAGATGATACTTAGAGACATTTTCATGTAACAATGCAGAACATATGTTATTCTCAAAATCACATAAAACTTTCACAATGAACCTACCTCATTTGAGCCATAAAAAGCAGCTTGAAATGTTAAAGACTAAAAATCATGCAGTTTATTCATCCAGACCGAAAAAAAATACTAAGCTAGAAATCAATAGCAGAAAAAAACACAATTGAAAAATCCTCAAATACTTGGGCATGGAGAAACACATTAATACATAATATATAAAGTATCAAAAAAGTAAATACTTTTAAGTTAATAAAAGTAAAAAACTAGCCAGGTAGTAGTGGTGCACACCTTTAATCCCAGCATTTGGGAGGCAGAGGCAGATAATCTCTAAGTTCCAGATCAGCCTGGTCTATAGAGTGAGTTCCAGGATAGCCAGCTGTTTCACAGAGAAACCCTGTCTCAAAATAAAACACCAAAAAAGTAAAATAAACTTAGCAAAATCTATGATATGAAGAGGAAAGTAAAGAGAAATATATAGTAAACATGTAGGTTGTTTCTAGCATGGAGAACACATATGAGAAAAGACATGGGATAACAAATGGCTCAGTAGGTAAAGGAAGCAACTTGAGTCCTGAGTTTGTTTCCAGGAGCTGTATAGATGTAGAAAGAGAGTAGCAACTCCCTCCCCGCCCACACACACAAAAAGGGGTCTTCTGGCCTCTATGTGCACACTGCAGCATATATGATACAAATATACTGGCACACAATAATAACAATAAGTACATTTTTAGACAAAAGAAAGACACAGATTGATTGCAATAGAAGCTTAAGTATTGGAAACCAGGAAAACTAAAAGCAAATTCAGTTAAAAGAAAGAAGAAACAATATACTGAGTTAGAGTAGAAATCATTGAGATGGTGAATTGGTGGCTGGAGAGATGGCTCAGAGGTTAAGAGCAATTGTTGCTCTTCTAGAAGACCTCATTTCTGTCATATATACTGGCCCTGGGTCTACACAAGTCAATCTCTTCTAACAGTCAACTATGGATGGGCAAAGAGTTCAGATGGCCTTATCATTACCAATTATTATCATTACCATTACCAATGAATTCCCACAGATGGAGAAGCATAGTTTCTAGTTGTATGGCTGCTAGTGAGCCCATCAAACTTGAAGGAATAGCTCCAACCCCAGGATCACACAGATAGCCCTAGTTAAACTCTGAGTCACAAAACAAAAAGTAATGGATATGGGAAAGAAATCCTTAAGGAATAATAGGGGCTGGCATAGGTGAGAAGGAAATAAGGAAGGGTTGGGGAGAAGGTAACCAGAATATATTACACATGCATGTAAGGATGACAAAGAGGAAAAATTATAAATAAAAAAGTTTACCAATGCTTACAATATATCTCCAAATATAGATTTATTTTTGCTCCAGAATAAGATAATGCATTAGGGATTATTTACCTAATAATATCTCGCAATGAAATATTTACCCTGATACAAAACTAAGAAAAATAAATTACGAGAGGAAAACTTAAGACCAATAACTCTTATGAATATAAATACAAAAATTCTCAATAATATGAAATCAAATCCAATAAATATATCAAAAGAGCAATACAGCATTATCAAATAGGATTTATACCAGGTTCCACATGACACTGTAAAGAGAAACCATCATGAAAGCACACCATTAAGGAAAAGAGAGAGGAAGAGCACTGCGTGAACCCAATTGCATTCTTGTTAAACATTACTAACTTATGACAGGCAAATTTCTTCAGAACATCTGCAACAACCTGCAGTCACCACCATACTTAAGAGGGAAAAGCCAGATGGCTTCACATAGGAACAAGGCAAAAGCATTCCCTCTTACCATCCATCACAATTCTAGGACTATAGCTAGTGCAACAAACTGAGCAACATGGTAACAAAAGATGGCAGACTGCATCCAGGCAGAACCCACTACAGTGTCTGCAGCACAGCCCTTAGTCCTTGGAGAACAACCTTCCTACAAAGTGAGGGTTCACAGAAAAACATTCTTTTCAGTAGCAAGAAAGGGAACAGGACAGTTGGGCCCGGGGTCAATTACCGAGACTTCAGAGCAATGACAGAGTGTGTTATTAATGTAGAGAGTGCAACTGTGGTATCAGAGCAATGACTCTGGACAGAGCACTCAGAGAAATCTAATGAACACGTTATTTAGAAAACAGTAGATAGAAGAGGAAAAGGTAATAGTGAGAAGGCAAGGCATCAGAGCTGCACAACTGAGGAAGGTTAAGTACTGGCAAAACCCTCTGTTCTTGATACTCCACAAGATGACAAAAAAGGCATTTTTAAAGGACCCTGTAGACTCAATGGCTAAGCAGCTATACAGCCAAAGGGGCCACACTGCAAGGCCCATGCTGGCAATCCAGAGCAAACATGTCACAGGACAATAGTCTGAGGCCTGGCCTTCAGAATACTTCTAAACAGAAGAAACACTTTGTAGTTTTAAGTTAAAATTTATTCAGAGTTCCATGAGGTGGATATCTGGTCTGAGACATAGACCAAAGCAGACCATGTAGAGACAGACCTGGGACCCAATGCTGTCCCTTTGAGAGACTACATATAGGCAGGACCAACAAATATGATCTGCCCTTTCCCCCACCCCATGGAAGACTACTTGGAAGCAGGCTTTATATCTAAGCTACCCAGGTCCCAACCCCATGTCCACTGAGTACTTCACACTGGCAGACTTGGCATACACACCCCAAGCCTGTGAGAAGGCTTGACATCCACACCACAACCCCATGAAACCACACACCTTCCCTGTGCCCTACTCTATCAAGAGACTGCACAGAATCAAGCTAGCCTCTATGGTCAGGTACAAAACCACACACAGATCGCACCTCTACCCAGGTTTCTTTACTTCTCTTTACATTTACCTTATTTAATATCCAATTCCAACTCAGCAGAGCAGATCTACCATGACATACCCTCTTTGTTCTTTTCTTTTAAGTGTTCCCAAGAACACTGGCTGTCCCAGAGTTCACAGCCTGCATGTCCCAGCCTCTTGAGCTCTGGGACTGTTTTAGGTTGCCAGATTGCATTTTTTTCACTTATCTCTCTTTTCATTTTCCTTTAGCTGGAGCTACTAAATCCCCTCTCTTCATTTTTACTGTTCCTTCCTTTTACTTACTTTCCCTCTTCTCTTCGTCTATTGCTCAAGCACTAATCATTAGTACTTTCTATCCTTAATAGTAGTATTCTGCCCTTGTTCCCCACTCCTCTAAAATGACTGCAGTTGAAGGGGTGGTTGTATTTAATTCACCATTGTTCTATTTTCATAGCTGGCATATCTAGCAGTTGTGGCTACTTTCACAGGTGGTATTCTACTTTTGAAGTGGTAGTAGAGATCAACCCAAGTGCCCTGAGCAGGAGCTGAGAGTTCAGCTAGGTTTTACTCTGAGACCAGTGGGGACAAATGATAGTTCAATCTAACACATACAGTTTAGACCCCTTGACCCAAACACTGAAAACACTTGGAATGAAAGAATACATGTGATAAGGGAGATAAAATCAGCACAAAAATTGAATCTGGTATTACAAGCTCTAATACAGAAACACAGCATCATGGAAACCAAGCAACATGACTCCCCCAAACATTTTACTTCTATGGCAATAGGCTAAAGTGAGAGAATTGAGGAAATGACCAAAGAACTCTCAAGTACTATTTTAAGAATGCTAAAAAAAGAAAGTCACCAGTGAACAGAATGAATTCAGTAAGAATACAGACAGCTAAATGTAATAACTAAACTGATGCGGGATTTAATGGGGATTTTAATAAAAAAATAGAAATAGAGAAATTAAGTTGAAATTTTGGAAATTAAAAAGCTCACTAGGTCAAATTATAAAACATCAATGGAAGACCTGATCAATAGATCAAATAGAAGTCAGAACATCAGAGCTTAAAGACCAAGGTAGACAAATAAGAATAACCGAACAATGACAACTATAAAATAATAAAGTGTACCATAATAGAAAAGATATGTTGCTGATTTTTCTTAGTATGATGATGATCAGTTATAACAATTTTCATAAAATTATGATTTCATTCTTCTTTATGATTTCAGAAACCTCTACATATCAAAGGCATAAAGTTGAACGCAGACCTCAATATTACAGAAATTAGCTCAAATGCATTTTAATATAAACAGAAAAAATGAACTAAAAGGTGACAGTCCTTAATGACCTCATATTTCTAAATAAAGGCACAAAAAGAAAGAAAAAATTCCCATAATCTAAAAGGTAAAAAAGAATCTGAGTTAACAATTTTCCAAAAAGATAAATGGATGACCACTTAACACATTAAAAAAAATACTCAAAGTCATTTGAAGAAGCACAAAGCTGGCTCACAACTGAAACATTTTACTCTGGATATCACATCTTCTCTATGATAAATTCAAATGTAAGTTTTCCAAGGCCTTGTTCCATCTATTAAAACAACCAGAAAACAAAGATTCACAAAGCCTCTGTATTCTAATAGTGTTTCCTTGACAGGCTAGAGCAAAGCTTAGACTGATCATCTGCCTTGAGGTTGGTGAAAACTATTGAAATCTCCCTAGAGAAGGGAAAAGCAAGAATTACAGAAGATAAGAGTTTATCCTGCTCTTGCCTTTGAAGTTTCATGCCTCTCTACTCTCTCTGCCAAAATTAAACTCTATAAAAGAAAATTCTACAAATTAAATTATACATGACAAAAAAGGAGAAAGAGAGGTGAAAGAGGAGAAGAAGGGCACCCTATAAATGCATAGATGTTTATTCCTGAGATTATGTGCCTCCTCACTCCAGCATTAATGACAACACATTAAATGAGATGAGGTGTCTGTTTTACAGTGTTAACCACTATATAAGCAAATGCTCCTACTAACTGATCACTATATCTAAATACTATGGGTCCTTCTCACACTTCCATTCAATAGTAAAGTGTCACAGTACACTTTTCACTGAGGGCATGAATCAGCAAGATCCTATTTGGAGGGTTATTAGCATTAAGGCAAAAGGAAGAAAATCACTTAGACTTGTACCATTCATATTCTAAACAGTTGGTTGGGTCCCCAAATTGTCTTTCTTAAAAGTATTTTGTATATTTACCTGAAAATGTGAAGAATAATTCATTTTGCAAACCAGCTCTTTGCATTTTAACACGATGGCATTCGGACTTAAGCAAGGAAATTTCACAGGAAAGGTCAAGAACCAGTTTACTTAAAATCTGAAGAAGTTTCTTCTCAAAAGAGATGTTATAGATACTATTGCAGGGAGCTGCATGGTATCGTGCTGTGAACTGGTAATAAAAATGAGGTTCACGATAAGCTACAAAGATTAAAAAGAAAAGACAAAAATGATCATTCAAGCAATTTAAATGTGCTGTGACTATTTTAAATAATTATTTGAAACAAACTTACATTCATTTCCATAAACTGCTATATTCACCCTACTTAACAAACATCTACCTCACAGTAACTAAGTATTAAGTATTATCACAGAGATTCTTAAACAGTGACTCATTTGACCCTCACCATCATTTAAGATTCACATTCTTATTATTGTATCTAGAAAAAGGAAACCAAGGCACAATAATGTAGTCACGTGTGTACTGCTGATGTTATCAAGGCTAAGATTCGAACCTAGGAAGGCTGGTCTCACTACACTGCTGCTCAAATGATGGCATCATATTTTGAAATTTTATATTACAGAAAAATCACACTGCTCTGTTTTTAAAATATTAAATCTTAGAAGAAATTTCAGAGATAAAATTAGCAAGAATACTTTTAAAAATATATTTCTAATAAATATAGTTTGTTTTACTTAATTCCAGTATAATATCTGGAATTGAAGACATACATATTTAAAGTAAATCTTAAAATCTTACTGGAAAGATTCAATAACTCTAAAAATGAAAGTAAATGCCTAATAATAAAAACATAAAAAGGTCATCTTGTGAGACAAGAGTTCTTTTGCTGCTTCTGCCAACCACGGGCTTCCTTCTGGCCTGCTTCTGATCACATTTTGATCAAGAGCCCCCTACTCATCATACTCATGCCCCTTACTTACCACTGTCCATTTTCCTACCTATACTTAAAGCTAAGCACACTTACTGCTGTCAAACTTAGTACAGAGATAGGCAGCTTTTACTTGTCAAGGAAACCTACTAGTGTCATTTGTGATCACAAATGAAAGCCAAAGACTACCAAGATCCTAACTTCAAGAAAATAAAATCAGTATTTTTTAATTTTTTAGAAGGACCTAAAAGAAAACTGCTATAGGAAGCATTAAAATGAACTTAAAATTCTAAATATAAAAATTAATATATAATCCATAAAACATGATGAGCTATAAGGCAAATGGTTAGAAAATGAGGAATGTAACAGACAGGTACAGTGCTACATATCTGTATTTGCAACATTCACAAAACTGAAGCAGGAGGATTGCACAAATGAGTTAGAAATTAAATCGGAGTAGATACAAATATTTAGAAATGATAAACATACCAACAGTGAAGGATACAATTAAAATAATAACAGCAAACATTTATCTTTAACTATAATTATCAAAATAAATTTTTAAAAGATGAACTGATAGCTAGAGAGTGGTGGTGCACGCCTTTAATCCCAGCACTCAGGAGGCAGAGGCAGGAAGATCTCTGTGAGTTCGAGACCAGCCTGATCTACAAGAGCTAGTTCCAGGACACCCTCCAAAGCCACAAAGAAACCCTGTCTTAAAAAAAAAAAAAAAAGATGAACTGCTAAGCCAAACAGCTTTAAAAAATACTACTACAGTTATAACAGAAAAGGTGGGAGCAAGACCAGCTCATTTAGGTAGGAAAACATAAAAGCAATAAACCCATTACAAAACATCAAAATAAAAGAAAGTTAAGTTCCATTTCATTTTCCTTTTTGACTAGGAAACTGAAGCTACTAATATTTAAAGTTATTATTAAAAGGTATCTGTTGGCCATGCAGTGATGGTGCACGCCTTTAATCCCAGCACTTAGGAGGCAGAGGCAGAGGCAGGAGGATTTCTGTGAGTTTGAGGCCAGTCTAGTCTACAGAGCTACACAGAGAAACGCTGTCTCAAACAAAACAAAACAAAACAAAACAAAAGTGTCTGTTGATTGTTATCATTTTACTATTCTTTTGCTGTTTGTGTTCTTATTCTTATTTTGTATTTTAGTAACTATGCCTTCATTTGTTTTCTTTCTGTGGCCTTTTGGCTATGCTTGCTCATCTTTTTTGAGAAGGGGGAGAGGATAATGCAGAGGGAGGGAAAGGAAGGAGAGATAAACAACACTGAGGATTTTTGATAAGCCAGAGGGAAACATACTACTTCATAATATATACAGACACACACACACACACACACACACTACCACTTGTGTGTGTGTGTGTGTGTGTGTGTGTGTGTGTGTGTGTGTGTAATAATACTAATTACAGACAAAGGGGTTATGAGTGCTAGAGAATGAGGGGTATATGAGAGGAGCTGATGGAGGAAAAAGAGGAATAGAAACAGTGTAAATATAGTGCTTATTTATAAATTCAGTACTGTCAAAACTTAATTTGTAAAAAGAAAAAAACATACTAATTTAAAAGTGGAATTTTCAAAAGGTCACCACCTCAAAATTGGCAAAGGGAGTAATTGAAATTTAGAACTTCTTCATAGCAAAGGAAACAAAGTGGATATACTTCAGATATGGGGTTAATATACAGAATATCAAAGAAATGCAAAAAATAAATACCAAAACAAACGGTCAATCAATAAGTGTGCCAATGAACTAAACAGAGAGATCTAAAATAATAAAAAAAACCCACAAGTGACAAAAAATATTTTTAAGAGATCAACACCTGTAGCCAATACAAAAGGGCAAAATAAAGCTACTTTGAGATTCTATCTCATTCCAGTTAGAATGGCCTTCATTAAAGAAAAAAATCACAACAAATGCTGGTGACGATATGGGTAAGATGATCCTTTACTCCCTGTTTGTGAGAGTATAAACTGAAGCATCCACTATGGAACGCTACATGGAGGAGTCTTAAAAAATGAAAACAGAACTACAGTGATCCAGCTATACTGCTCTTGGGTATCTAACCAAATGACACCACTACAGAGATGCTCATGTATCTGTACCTATTGCTATATTATTCACAAGAGCTAGAAAACATAGACAAGCTGGATGTCTATCAATAGTCAAATGGATAAAGAAAATATAATACACAATGAAATTTTATTTGGTATGGAAAAATGCAACTATGAAATTTACATGAAAATAGATGCACTCAGAAATTATGTAATGAGGTAATTCAGACTCAGAAAGGCAAATACCACTTTCTCTCTCATATTCACATGTTTTTGTATATGTGTATGTGTACAGGGCAGTTACAGTTCATAAAACTAGACAGGAGGTCATAAGAGGAAAAAGTGGAGGTCTTAAAGGATAGAGAAAGGAAAAAATAAAGGCAATAAGAAATGCATGATATGGGCCTGGAGAAATGGCTCAGTGGTTACTGACTGTTCTTCCAGAGGTCCTGAGTTCAATTCCCAGAAACCACATGGTGGCTCACAACCACCTTGAATGAGATCTGGTGCCCTCTTCTGGCATGCAAGTATAAGACTGTATAGACAGTATACATAATAAATAATAAAATCTAAAAAAAAAAAAAACAAAAGAAATGCATGATATGAAGATGGGGGAAGGGTAGAATAAAGAATGGGGAAAGAGAATAGAAAAATGAAGCACACCTCTAGGTGTCAAATGCAGCCCTCACCTGTAATTCTAATTTCAAAGAAATAAAATAAGTGCATATAATAGCACTATGAGAATTTGGTGGTTTCAGTTGTTTATTTCATGATAAGAGAAATATAAGCTAAATACTTACCAATTTTTTTTATTTAAAAACTATATAAATCACTATAAACCAAAGTTGTATATTACCTAGGTGGGGACCATTTCCATGAGAAACAAAACATAAGCATTCCTCACTCTAGTCCTAGTTTCCAGCTACACTACATTAATGTATCCTCCCTTGGTGTTTAATAGTTACATATAAAAGCACATTCCTGGAACATACTATGCATATGATGAATTTTTCCTGCCATTATAATTTCTACAAACCACTTCTCAGGCACAAATATGTTTGCTAGCTTATGCAAACATGCCCTTACGTAAATGCTGAAGTATAAGTGTGATAAGATACAGAAAATTACAACAGGGAGATGAAATATGACCACTTAAACAATCAAAAAATGACTTCTCTAACTAAAGTCATGTCATTTATTATAACAGTGCCTTCCTCTTATAAATATAGAATAGCACTTTTGAGTAAGCAAAATATTGTCAGGAAGCCATTAATAAATGGGCATTTGTGTGGCATCTTGACTGTAAAAACAATGGCATGTACATTTCTTATTGTTACTATAAGAAACACATTAGTTTAGAGACAACACAGTTATTGTCTTAAGTTCTGGAGAAGACAAATCTGAAAGTCCTACTAGACCAAAATCAAGATGTATTCTTTCTGGAACATGCATAGGAACACCCACTTACTGAGCACATGACTAGAAGATGCTTAGATAGCACACATGCTATACAATGTGAAAGATTATCACTCAACCTCTGCTTTGTTACCACATCTCCCTTTTCTACCTTTGACCCTTTTACTTCATTTTCATAACAACTCTTGTAATCAGGCATGGTAGCATACATAACCCCAGCACTGAGGATGGAGAGTTGCTGTGAGTTCAGGCCTTCAAGGGCTAGAGTGAGATGTGTCATGTCTCAAAACAAACCCCTTATGATTACACTAGGCTCACTCAGTTAATTCTGCATTGTAACCTTTAAACTTCATCATCAACTTGTCTCAATTTGCAATAATACAGGAGCTACAACTCTAGGGTATCTGTAAGAATGTTTCCAGAAAGCTTTAACTGAGGATGAAGAGCCACTCCAAATGTGGGTGGCATCATCTCATGCACTGAGATCCCAGACTGGATAAATAAATTGGGAACAAAGGGTATAATATAAAAGAAAAGAATGAGCACAGAATTGCTCCCTAAATCATGTTTCCAGTACCATGTCTTCCTGCCATGATGGTCCAGCCAAAATATTTCCTCCTTCTTGAATGTTCGTGGTCAGGTGTTTCTCACAGCAGCAAGAAAAATGACTAATACAAGAGCATCTCTCCATGGCAAGAGCCTTAACTTGATAACAGAGTCAAGTCCCTTTGATCTGGTATGCTTACACTGACATGCTCTGAAGATAACATTAAGACCTCTCTGTCTGCCATTTTTCAGCCTACTACACAGAGTCCCAACAGTTTGATTAAACTTGTAACTGTAGTTTATATTATTCTTTTCTTTATTTCACATCACATCAGCCCTCTCAATTTTATTCCTCAGCAGAATAATCTAAGATGAGGAATTTATAGTAGGCTTCCATAGCACTCAGAATTGAAAAGCAGATTAAATTATGTTCATTATATCACTGTGATTTGAAAACATGGTTCTGTAAATGGCTTTGACTGGCTGATTATGATAACTAAAAGGCTCCTTTGGTTACCAGTCTTTCTCCTTGCTGTTAAGATACATAACTTGGGTAAGTAGGAATTCTTTTAATTAGAAGACCAAAAACAGCAAAGTTCTTTTTTTTAAATCTTGTCAAAAATATAAACTTAAAACTGTCTTTTAAAAAACTACCCTCCTGAGCAGAAAGGATATATAATAGGTAGGGTTTTAGTTGGGGGGGGTTAATAGGGGAGGAGGGAGGGAGGGAGAGAAAACTGGGATTGACATGTAAAACAATCTTGTTTCCAATTCAAATTAAAAAAAGAAGAAAAAGAAAAAATAAAACAACAACAACAACAACAAAAAACCCTACCCTCCTAAATTCTTAATAGCAAAACTTGGAAACACCTAGATGAACCTCAACAGGAGACTAGATAAAGAGAATGTGGTACACTAACATAATGGAGTATCACTTAGCCATTAAAAATGACACCATGAAATTTTCAGGATAATGGATGGAACTAGAAAGAAATCATCCTAAGTGAGGTATCTCAGACCCAGAAAGACAAATATGTTATGTATTTACTTATATGTAGATATTAGCTGTTAAGACAGTGATAACCAAGCTACAATCGATAGTCTATAGAAACACAGAGGGTAGAAAAAGGGACTAGATGGAACAGATCTTGTTAGGAAAGAGAAATAGAATAGATATGGATGGATAGTAATGCTGGAATGAGAAGATCAAGTGGAAAAGTGGAGAGGATGGGGGTTGCGGGAGGGAGCATGGGGAGAGACAGCTAAAATTAAGGGCCATTTGAGGGTAGTATGGAAACCTAATACTGTACAAACTTCCTAAAATATACACATATATCAAAGCAATCTAAATGAAATCACCAAATAATGGGGAGACAGAGTCCCACCTGGCCATCTCTTGTCACTAAATGAAGCTTCCTGTACTGGCATTGGGCTACATCTAATTGAGTTGATGGATGAAGGGGCCACCATAGGAATCCAGGTTATTTCCAAGACTATAGGTTGCTCTCCAAAAACTGACAGCAAGGCCCCAGTACTGAAGACAACACCTACACAAATCTTTGAACATGGCGATGTCAAGTCAGTGCCTATATACAGCCTTCACCGCCATATTATATCATCTATGGTACAGGAAAGTACTCTGCATGCCTTCAAAAGATAAAGATAAACACCAAGCCAGCCACAAATCCTTTATCTACAGTGGTGTACTACCTGTAAGATATGCTAGGGCAATGACTGCACGAAGCTTATGAGAGTATCCAACTAATAACTGATCTGACTTAAGGCCCACTCCAGAAAATGGAAACCAAACCCACCTGAGACTAATTAAATAGTTCAGGAACCTAGGGCAAAACCAAATTATTCTGTGAAAGAAAAAGAGAGAGAGAATGGGGGAGAGAAAGGAAAAAGAAAGAAAGAAAGAAAGAAAGAAAGAAAGAAAGAAAGAAAATATAGTGATAAAATGACTTCTAATGATATTCTGCTAGACTCATTGTTCAGCCATCATCAGAGAAGCTTCCTCCTGCAGCAGGTAGGAACAAATATAGAGCCCACAGGCAGATATCACACACAGAGTTGAGAGAACTTGGAACACTCAGCCCTAATTGGGATTTCTCCACCAAATCCCTCTCCTGGGGGGTCAGGGAAACCTGAGGAAGAAAAGTCAGAAGGGGTGTTAAACCAGGGGGTATAGAAGACACCAATAAAACAAGGCCCTCTAAACCAATGTGAGCAAAGCCCATAGGGACTCACAGAGACTGAAGCAGCATGTCCAAGTTCTGAAAGGTCTACACCAGGTCCTCAGTGCTTATACTATGGCTTCTGGGTTAGTATTTTGATGGGACTCCTAAGTGTGTGAATGAGTGGGTCTCTGATTTTTGTGCCTTCTCTTGTGCTCTTTTTCCATCCGTTGGTTTCTTTTGTCCAACTTTGATGTGATAGATTTTGTTTATCATATATTTTGTTGTATTTTTAAATGAATTAATGAAAGAAAAGAGAAATGAAGGAGGGAGGGACGGAGGGATAGAGAGAAGGAGGGAAAAAAGGAAGGAAAGAAGGAAGGAAGGGAAGGAAGGAGGAAACCTAGACACCCAAGCCACTTTAACTACTGAACTATCATTTGTACCTGCTGGGAGAGGAAAAATGAATCATTTCCAATGGAATGACACTGGGTATATCAACCACTCTAGCGCAGGCATCATGTACAGAAATAGTTGACCAACACATAATGGACTCCACAGGTAGGGGTGTGTGTGTATGTGTGGTGTGTA